CAACGTTTCTCAACTGCTCGGCTCGGTTCCCGTGACGACACTCGGCAGTTTGCTGCTCCAAAAACAAAGACGGCCGCTCTTTTTTTTGTATTTTGAGCTGCCTGAAGAAAGGCCACGGCAGCTTCAAGGGACACTTGGACGGCCCGAATATTGGCCAAAGCCAAGTCCAAGGAGGCGGCGGGGCCAGAGCCTATATCATAGGCCCGTGGCAGTAAAAAATTGAGTCAACACTAAATTCGCCCCCCCCTAAAAGGAATCTTTTTTTGGGGGGGGATGAGATTTACAAGAAATTGCCACGCCCCCTTTTGGGGCTGCACGAAGGCTGCTCATTTCTTGTTCTTTTAAGGCACCCATGGAAAGAGTTCTCGTTTGGTGATTTTTTTTTCAGAGGTTGAAGTTGAGATGTCCTCATATATTTGGCGGCCGATTTGTCCCCCGTTCAGCAACAACGCATAAACCGAGAGAATAACAGTACTCACTCACTCATATCTTCCTTATCCTCTGTGTAGAACGACGAATATTGCTGGTCAACAACAAAAAAAACGAACTTGCATGTAATGTGGAGCAGCAATTCGCTTCTGTACAAATGCTGCCTATTTTCTTTGGAAGTAAACTAGCTTGCACTCAATGGAATTTGCAGCACAATAATCCATTGACGAGTCGCAACTCCGGTGTTGTCAGATGTGGTGCTATTTGGTAATGTTGCGGTCACAATCCGCTACCCGTACGGTTCCCAAGCGTAGCTTATTGGCAGCTGTCGAGGTGACAGCAAATGAGGAAGGCGCCGCCCCGTGTTAAGCCGCGCCAGCTAACCAGCCGCGACTCAAAGGTGGCACGAAGCCACTTAGCGTAGCGCCTCCCGTTCCCCCGGTAGTTCCCAAGCCACCGGCAAGGCTGGGGGGGGGCGTTAGACGGGCTCCAAGCACGTTGTCGGGGATGACGAGGCGAGTGGTATCGCCACTCCAAATTTGTTTCTAACTTTCGGGGAAGGATGATCGGGGGAACAATATATATATATATATA